AAGCTCAGCAGATCTCAAGCACAAGAAAGCAAACACACCAAGAGACATTATAATCCAACTGTTTAAAAACAGTGGTAAACTTTTTTTAAAAAATCAGAAGACAAGGCTGGAGAGATGGCTCAGTGGTTAAGAATGCTGGTTGCTCTTGTAGAGGACCTGGGTTTGGTTCCCAGCACCCACATGGCAGCTAACTCCTTCCTGTCCATAACTCCAATTCCAGGAGAGCCAGTGCTCACTGATTATATGTGTATGAAATTGCCATAATGAAACACATTATTTTGCAAAAAAACTAATAAAAGAAGAAAACCAAGGCCAGGTGTGGTGGCACCCACCTTTGATCCAAGCACTAGGAAGCAGAAACTGGCAGATCTTTATGAGTCTGAGGCCATCCTGGTCTACCTGTGTGCTGCAGTACCCACAGAGATCAGAAAAGGGCATCAGATCCTCTGAAACTGGAGTAGCAGACAGTTGTTAGCCACCGTGTGGGTATTGAACCTGGATCCTCTGTAAGAGCTGTCAGTGCTCTTAATCACTGAGCCATCTCTCTACCCCTATAATGATTTATCTTCACAAATGATATGTGCATAGTAAATGTAGATAATTGCTCAGATTCCTGTGTTGGCATCTAAAATCACCACTGGTTTTAAAGGTGTTGTTGAGTAACAAGCAATTATGTTATGACATGTAATTGCCACGGACAAAAAATAATAAAGTCAACCACAAAAATTTTACTTGGAAAATAGAGAAAAGGCAGTACTTTGCACATGAGCATTAGATACAGATTTTGTAAAATATTAATAATGTGTTTGGGTAACAAACACAAGAGGAATCTAAGAGGCAGTTTCCAGAGTGCTCTGGATCATCTGGAGGACTGTCCCAAGGAGCTTCAGGATGAACTAAAGGAGGATATAGATGAATGGAAAGCAAAAATAATTAAAGCATAGAATTCCGGTACAGGTCTACTTGGTATAATTCCTAAGTTTTTATATTATTTTTGCTTTTTTTCAGAAATCCATTTCCCCATAATTACTAACTACTAGTTAGCAAAATAATTTTTTGCACAAAACATGTCATCTAAGATATTTTAACAATTTATATCAAAAACATAACCATACAATTTGGCATGAATTCATCTTTTCAATGATAAGTAATATAGTTAAGCAAATCATTGTGTTTGTTAGCTCATCTGTTTTTTAAAGATTTTTAAAAAAATTTTATATGTATGAGTGTATGTATGTGTACCACATGTCCCTCAGAGGCCAGAAGATTGTGTTGGCTTCCATGGAACTAGAGTTACAGATGGTTGTGAGCTACCATGTGGGTGCTGGGAACTGAACCTGAGTCTCCACAGGAACAACCAGTGCTCTTACCCACTGAGCTAACTCCAGCCCCAAGCTCATCCTTTCCTTCAGACTAAACCAGATCAGGAAGGAATCAGTGTTCTTGTGCTCTGGTGGAACACATTCAAGTGGCTCTTGGCATCCTGCTGCAGCTTCTCTGAAGTTTTGGAAATCCCACCCACAACTTATTATTTTACTTGTCTTTCTCAGCTTGTGTAGATTGAAAGCCACACTAGTGATCGCCCCCTACTCTTGTCACTTCTGCACACAGTGCTTGTCCTTCCATTCCCCGTATTTTCCTTTCTCTTTTCGTCTCCCTTTTCCTCAAGTAGTTCAAAGGCAACAAGATCTTGGTTCCTGAGATAGAACAGAGAATTCTGCTCATTCTAGGCACCAACCTTCCTTTTTCCTTTCTGAATGCTTCCTTTGTTTTCTCTACATCAAGGGACCCAACTGATTTCCCAAGTGATTTCTTGATATGCAAAATTAAGGAAACACCTTTTGAAAAGGTTCTTCTAAAGTCCTTCTGCCATTTGATTTATGGCCTACCCTGTCTGCATATATATTATCATTCTCCAATTTTGCGTGACTAGTTCATATTTTGAGAAAAATCTATTTTGGTTCTAAAGTAATTGTTGGAATCTACCCATTAACCACACAAATTTTTAGTTTATGACTTGATAGTTTAGTACCTCAGCACACATTCTGTCTTGAGGTGCTGTAAAACTGTTTCAAGGGGTTGAGGATGTGATTCACTAGTAGAGCTCTTGCCTAGCGTGCTGAGGCCCTGGATGTAACCCATAGCCCCAGTGGAAAGGAAAAGGGGAGAAGATTAGGAAGAGAAAGAGGAAGAAGAAGGAAGAGGGGAGGGGAAAGGAGGAGGGAGAGAAGAGGGGAGGGAAAGGAAGAGGGAGAGAAGAGGGGAGGGAAAGGAGGAGGGAAAGAAGAGGGGAGGGAAAGGAGGAGGGAGAGAAGAGGGAGGGAAAGGAGGAAGGAGAGAAGAGGGAGGGAAAGGAGGAGGGAGAGAAGAGGGGAAGGAAAGGAGGAGGGAGAGATGAGGGGAGGGAAAGGAGGAGGGAGAGAAGAGGGAGGGAAAGGAGGAGGGAGAGAAGAGGGGAGGGAAAGGAGGAGGGAGAGAAAAGGGAGGGAAAGGAAGAGGGAGAGAAGAGGGGAGGGAAAGGAGGAGGGAGAGAAGAGGGAGGGAAAGGAGGAGGGAGGGATGAGGGGAGGGAAAGGAGGAGGGAGAGAAGAGGGGAGGGAAAGGAGGAGGGAGAGATGAGAGTACAAAGGGGAAAGGGGGGCAAAATCATTTAAGTTTCTTTGTAAAAAATAGTGTCAGAGGAACTTATAAACTATTGACTTTTAAAGTTATGCCTCTTCAAAGAATTTGGATTTAATTCCCTCCTTCCGTATGTTCTTGGCTTCCCTGTCCTTGCTTCACTGAAGCACACCAGTCAAATGGGTAAAGTAGTAGAAGTCAGGCTGGAGTTCAGGCTAAATCTGGCAGAGAGCCCTGTTTGGGGGCAAAGGAAGCCGGAATCCAGCCTGTGTTATATTCACCTAGTCCTGCGTGTGGCATGAGATTGTGTTCATCCCAGGAAAAGCGTGCTTTATTAGTCTACGTGAAGGTGTCATGTCGGCTGGTGGTGGACCAGTAAAATGTTCATGGCAGGAGTTTTGAGTTTTGTATAATTCATTGAGAAATCACTAAGAGAATAAAATAGTGTTTATTTTGTAAAGAACACTGTGTAATATGTAACATAGACTGGAGAAAGGCCAGAATGGAATTAAGAAGGCTTGTTTGGAGTGGGGGTGGTAGATGATGGTGAGATGTAGAGAAATGAATCCATCTCTTGTTTGGTGTGGAGGTTAGGGGAAGAGGAGTCTGCAAGACTTGAACAGCTCATTAGATGGCGTGCTATGTCCAGACATGGAAAAGGTTAGGGAAGAAACTGGCTTTGGTGGGGGGCATTGTACCAGGTCAGGACTTTCACACTATGCAGTTTATTGGAGACATCTAGGTGTTGTCTAAATGGCTACCGAGAGGCAAGTGGATAGATGCTCCTAGTATTCAGAGGAGTGTCTGTTCTTTTTCCTGAGCTACGCCTCTGAACAGTTCTATATAGTTCCTACAAGATCATCAGTAACCTTTCACCCAAACAATGTAGAAGTTTATTTTGAGAGCCAGAATAGCTCCTTGTGTTGTGTTTACACTTTGCCTCAGGCGAACGTTCAATTCTATCTCCAGTGCAATAAATCCTACTGACCTTGGGGCTACTCTTTTAACTTGTTTTATTTAATTTAAAGGGCTTCCTGTAAACTGTCTTAGCAAGCTTTGACCATCCCAGTATTTTGCTTTCAGTGTTCCCTTGAGAAATTCAGGTTGACCTCTGTCCTTCTATTAATGACCAGAATCACACAGTCAAAGCCTGGAAGGTTTAACAGTTTCCCCCCAATTTACCTGGCATTTACCACACACTCCATTAGAATTTATAGTCTTGGCATGACATAATGTAGACCAGGAACTGAGCTGTTGCTGGAATCTCATCTCTGATCTCAGAAGATGAACTCTATCTGCAGTGTGAATGACTCTGGTACTCCAAGATTTTCTTCTCTCTTGCTCTAGCAGACAGAGCCAAAGCCAGTGGTTAAAAACCACATGGAGGAAAATGTTGGCTCAACTACAGGAAAAACTGCTTAATGCTTAGTGCAGTCTGAAATGGAAACTCCTGCTGGGGAAGGAGTGAGTTACAGTTTCTAGAGGTGTGAGGCACAGCAGACCATCCTTTGGTGTCAATTCTGTGGTAGAGACTGCAGGGCTGGAGCGTGGAAGTAATCTCTGATGACTTTTGAATTCTTGCCCATGCTAGAACTTTACACAGATGCTCTGCCTCATTTAATCCTCATAACGACCCCCAAAGGAACTAGCTATAACCCCTTCAGAAGAGGTTATGGTCACAAACGTAAGATCACACAGCTAGCAAGTGGCAACGCCAGGATTTAGAGCCAGGATTTAAACTCAATTCCATCTCAAATCAGTCTTTGTTTATTTTTTCCACAATTCACAGAAGTATGAGAGCGTGAACAAAGGGATTTCTAAAAGTCTCTTCCAGCACTGTGGTCTATCTGGGTCAAAATATGGATAGAGACATGGCTGTCTGTTTTCCTTTTAAACATTCTTCCAACCTCTCACATTAATATGACAGTCTGTGACTCCAGAGCCCACTGTGACCTCCATCATGACAGGACCACTTGAAAACTCAATATTTGTGCTGTGTATTTCCTTTGAATTTTCAGCCTCAAAATGGAGTTGGGGGTGTTACTCTTATGGATTGCTGGTGAGGACTGAGCTAACAGTAAAAATGACTAAGATTTTAGTCATTTAGGTATAAATGATTCAGCTCTTGGTATCTCTGAAAACTGTTATTTTATAGTTCTAATTTCTATATTAACTTTTTAGATTTTAGTTGTTAGAATATTTGACCATGCTCAATTTTCCTGGCCTAACTTGTTAGATTTTTCTAATACTAGAAAATTTTCAAGCACCTTAATTAAAAATTCAAGGTTTGACTATTTTTAAAATTAGAGTCTGAAAATCAGCTTAATGTACTTATTTTAAGGTAAAATGGGTTCACATGTGTTTTAAATGCTATTTTCTAGATAGAAACTGAACTCACCAGGGAGAGAGCCCAACATGTAATTGAGCTCCAGGAGCAAGCTCTTCTTTTCAAGGAAGAAGCAAAACTGGAACTTGATGTTGAAAAAGAAAAACACCAGGAACTAATCCAAAAGCATAAGAAAGAACAAGAAGAACTACAAATGAAGGTCTGTGGTTATTATATATCATTACTCAATGTGTTTGAACACAAGAACATTGGTGCTTCCTCTGAAGAGCACTTCAGTCTCTTTAACTCCAGGAATTTTCTGGTGGTGGTTACACCTTGGCTTTACCACACAGGTGAAATGGTCTGCCTATTTTTCAGAATGGATAAAGGAGATAAATTATAAAAGCATACAACCCAGCTATGTCTGGATTTTTTTCTCCTAAAATAAACTTACTTTTAAAACTGAATAAACTGGGCTGGAGAGATGGCTCCGTGGCAGTACCACTTGCTGCTCTTGCAGAGGACCACATGGCAGCTCATAAGAATCTCTAACTCCAGTTCCAGGGGTTCTAATGCCCTCTTCTGTCTTCTCCATACACCAGGCATATATATGGTACACATACATGCATGCAGGCAGGCAAAACACTCATACACAAAAAGTAAAAATAAATCTTAAAAAACTGTATAAACTGAATAACTAATAATCAGTATGGCTAGATATTCCTCATCAAAAGATGAGGAATTTTACACAATTAAAATTTTCCTACTTAGAGCTTAACCTTTTTAAAAGAAAATATTTTAAATTCTAAACATTTTTGAATGAAGAGATTATAAAAATATAATCAGGCTTCCCTGGATTCTTAAACAGTATTTTCTAAATGTAGTTTAAGAGCTTGTTAAAGTTTCCACGTTTTATTTTTGTTTTGTTGGTTGATTTTATTTTGTTTTGCTGTATGTTTTGAGACATCCTCCTGCCTCAGCCTCCGACATGTTGGGATTACAGACATGTGCCACCAAGCCTCCTAAGTTTTTCCTGTTTTTATAAAACTTAAATGTAGGGAAAAAGAAAGGAGAGCAGAAGAGAGGGGAGGGAGAGGGAGAGAAGGAGAGAGGGAGAGAGAGGGAGAGAGGGAGAGGGAGAGAATGAATTAATTAAAGCCCACTGTGGAAATCATAAGCCCATGGCAAGATAGCTCAGCAGGTAAGGGTACAGGCCACCAAGCCTGACAACTTGAGTGTGATCCCAAGGAACCACATGGTGGAAGGAGAGAACCAATTCCCAAAAGTTGTCCCCTGGCCTCCACACATGTACTGTGACACACATATGAGGGGGAGAGAGAGAGAGAGAGAGAGAGAGAGAGAGAGAGAGAGAGAGAGAGAGAGAGAGGATAAATAGGTAAATGTAATAAAGCAAATTTTAAAAATCCATGTTAAGCACCACGCAGCCTTCACGGGCCTCTGTGTTGGTGTGGAGATACCGTACAGCCATCCCTAGTTCGCTGTGATCCAGAAGCAGGAGTAGCCACTGGAGAGGCAGCACAGGGCCGCACATGCAGAAGTCTCTCAGACGCTCTACCGATGCCACTGCCTTGAAATTCTCAGTGAGTCTGAGTTCATGATAATCGAAGTGAAGTCCTACTGGAACAATGGAGAGTGTGTGGAGCTTGGGTCCTCAGCTCCCCTGAGGCTCCCGCCTGTCCTGCACAGGTCCTGGCTTCTCACCTCCTGGTGCCAAAGGCTCCACTGAGTGGCCGTTCCCTTTCTCCCCTCACCTCATGACTGATGCTGAATAGCTAGGATCCCATGGGCAGAGGAATGCAAGCAAAATGATACGGTTATTTAAGAGAAGTCATAAGTTCAAATTTTCTAAGTAAAATCTGATTTTTAAACGTTGACTCCCTTCCTAAAAATTAAAGCAGACTTGCGGCCATGCGAACCTCCTGCCTCAGGAACTTACCCTGCCTCATTGTCAGCTCTCAGCTTGAGGTGGAAACCACCTAACAGTGACCCTCTTCCCTTCTGGAGTAGTTGAAAATAGAAGAATATTAATTTCTAAAATGACTCATCGTGGTGAATAGATTTCTTCCCAGAGTTATTCCTTACGGAAATTTAACATTTGAAACAAATCTTAGATACGTAGCCACCAAGTCCTCAGAACTTGGGTGTAAGAGTGTTTCCAGATTCTTTGTGGGCTGGTTTCTTATTGTACTAATGTTTATGACGACGTCTGTAGCTTGAGTAATAGGGATGTCATCAGAACTTCTGCTTTTCCTTGTTTTTTCTGTTCTTGTTTCATTGTTGTAGTTTTAAGACAGTAGCCCAAACTGACCTGGAACTCACTGTGTAGCCTGGGCTGGACCAAAACCCAGTGATTCTCTTGCCTTGGCTGGAACTTCAGGCATGAGCCACCATGCTCAGCTTTTTGTCTTGTTTTGTTTTTAAGGAAAAACAAAGTCATTTCCCTTCTAAAGATTTCACAATCTGAGGAAAATCTTCTCCAAGTTATTCCCTCATGTTTTATGTAGAAGTACAACTCGAGAAGCAGCTTTCTGGTGCTTTCTAGAACCTCATGGTCCACAATGAAATGGCAGCCACATGTAGCTGGTTATATTTCAGTCTCGTTCACTAAAATTTAGTACTTAGTTTGTCAGTCATATTAGTCCCATCACTGGTAGTCCATAGTCAGTACTGGCTTCCTAGAGCTACTGTGTATGTGTCCCTTCTCAGCTCAGAGACCAGTGGTGTCATATTGGTAGTGATGACAAAGGATTTCACCATTGAAATTAGATACAATTGACCTCTATTTGAGAGAGAAAGAGAGACAGAGACAGAATTTTTAAACATTGCCAAGCACCTCATGCTCCATAGTTGTGTGGCTAATGGCTACCATATAGAATAGCCATACAGAATAGTTCTGCCATAACAAGAGTTCTGCTAGGGATTACTGCTGTAGAAGATGCAGTTAGTGCCTGGGGTACCTCTAGGCATTGTCTATAAGAAAGAAAGAAAATCTGTCAAAGGAAAATTTACTGCTTTTATATGCACAGACTGTAATTGTGGTACTTTGCTTCCTGTGCCCCAAAGATTAAGCAGGTACTTTTCAGATCCAAAGACAGCCTAGTTCAGCCTAGCCAGACCCTCCCTGAATCTGCTTGTGGAGACCAGTTACCTCTAGCAACTCAATACAGTTAACAGAGATTTAAATATTTACAAGGATGCCCAAGTGGCTAAGAGAGATACCATTTTAGGTAAAATAAGTAAAAATCTTTGTCAACTTTAAAAAAAATTCTTGCATGTGGTTAGAAAAACAACTGATTTATTAGAATAAGCTTCTTAGAAACCATAAGTGTGCTGTGGTTACCTAGAAACAGTTGCCTCCAAACTAACATGAGATTTATCTTACAGATATCTGACTTAATCACAGGTGCTACAAGAAACCTTAGGCTAGAAGTGTTGACTCTAGAGGAAAAACTCCATGAATCCTACATGCAATACACCAGAGAGTCAGAGTCAAAGAAGAAAGAAATTGAAAACTTAAAAAATTTGGTTGCAGAATTTGAATCTCGCTTAAAAAAGGAAACCAGCAGTAACGATTCTGTTTCAGAAGACTTGAAGAAGAAAATGAAACAGAAGTCAGATGAGCTGCAAAGAGTAATGCTGGCCCAAGCACAACTGTTGCAGCAGTTTAACCAGTCCCAGGAAGAGGTAGGATGCATGTAGGGCTCTCTAGGAGCGCACTTTATTTACAAGCAAGCACAAACAGGAAAGGGAGCTTGGGGTCAAGGAGAATGTCGGTCCACTTCGGGACTGGAGGCCATATCCTGGCCCTGTGGCATCCCATTTCTTCTGGCGACCAATTTTTTGTTTTGTTTTGTTTTGAATTTGTTTTTATTTATTTTTAATTTTTTGTTATTTATTATTTTTATTTTATGTGTATGCATGTGTTGCCTGCATGTAGGTAAGTAGACCTCTGTCATGCAATGACCTCAGAGGATGGAAGAGGTTATTGGAGCCCCTGGAACTGGAGTTACTGACAGTTGTTAGCTGCCATGTGGGTGCTGGAATTCGAACCCGGGTCTTCTACAAGAACAGCCAGTGTTCCCAACCACTGAGCCACCTCTCCAGCCCCCAAATATGTTTTTATTTATTCTTCAAGAATTTCATACACACACACAATATATTTCAGTCATATTCAGCCCTCACTTTCTCTCTTCCAAGTTCTCCTGGGTCCCCTCAAGTTCTCCTCCCAACTTAAGAGTTTTTTGTTTGTTTGTTTTTAATAACCTACTAAGTCCAATTAGTGTTATCCATATAGGCATAGGTGTGGGGCCAGCCACTGGAACATGGTGGACAGAGCAGAGGCAACACTCCTAAAGAAAACAGTGAGCCTTCCCCTAGCAGCCGTCATTTGTAGTGGTTCCTCAGCTGGGGGTGGGGGTTTGTGTGCCCCGTCTCCTCCATGCTGCAATGCTGATCAGCTGAATTCAGGTGTACAGTGGACTTGTCATGCCCAGAAGACACTGTTTTACCCAGTCCTCCCTGCTTTCTGCCTCTTACAATCCTTCCACCCACTCTTCCATTATGTTTCCTGAGCCGTGGATGTCCCATTGATGACTGAACGCTCTCTGTGGACCAGTTCTATGTTGCAAATGATTACTTAAAACCTCTAAAGTAGTAATCTTTACAGAGTACATCTTATTTGTTTTAATATTAAATGTGTCAAAAAGTTTTTAAAGCTTAATTTTAAAAGCTATGGACAATACAAAGGTGATTTGACTTTCCTGATTTACATTTCTGTCAACCTGAACTTGTGAGCCACTTCTTTCTTATGTGTGTGGAAGTCTCAGCAGTTCTTCTGAGACTGGAGCAGGCCTATTTTTATTTGAGAGCCTTTTTTTCTATCAGTCTTCTTTCTGAACTGCTAAGAAATTTGGAAATAATGAGGTAATTAGTTATAATACTTGATCCCATTTATGACAACATTGCACATAAAGGCAAATGGAAGACTGAATGCTAGAAAGAAGTAATATTTTCTTTGGCCTTGTTGGCATCTTAATAAAGAAGTGAACAGAAAGTGCTAGCAATAATATCAGTTATTAAAAATATTGTATTTTGTTACTGTACTTAAATTACTGACCAAAACTGAAAGTTTATGCCATCTCTATAAATATTTAGTGAATATATTACAAAGAGTCATAAAGACTCTTAAAGAATGGACAAATACTCATAAAGAATGGACAAAATACTAGATCAAAAGCAATGCTTCACTCTATAAAGCAGGCATTATTTACATGTTACAGGTGAGGAACTGACTGAAGGCAGCTGAATAGTTTCCAGAGGGTCACACCTTCCAGTAGAGCCAAGACTCAAATTTGAGTCCTGTGGGACGAAGTTTCCTCTTCCAAGAAACTTGCACTGTGGTGATGAGTTCCACTTGTAAATTTCAGGGTGACCTTCAGCTTAGCCCACAGTATCTCCTAGAAAAATATTTGATTATACGTATGTGTGTTTATCTGCACCACCTGGGTGCCTGGTGCCTTTGGAGCCACTGGATCCCCCTGAAACTGGAACTAGATGGTTGCGAGCCACCATGTAGGTGCTGGGAACCGAACCAGGAACTTTTGGAAGAGCAACCAGTGCTCTTAACTGCTGAACCATCTCTCCACTCCCCACCTCATTCACTTTTTACTTTTAAAATGAATCAACAACAACAAAGCAAAACAAATGAATACTCCAGAACAGTAGATACAGTCAAAGTTGGACTGGGGGAGAAGGGTGGACAGGGTTGAGGCCAGGCAGTTGTCTCCTGTAGGACAGCAGCACGGCCTACCCCACGAAGGGAGCCTCTTACTAGTCCAGGCAAGAGTGGAAGAGGCAAGCACTGGAGAAACTAAGGAAGAAAGAAGTGATGCAGATTTGCCTCACATGAGACCGGGTTAACATTCTAGCAGAGAGAAGTTGGTGAAGTAACAGAAAGTCAAGGGAGCTAGACTAGCAGGTCTGAACTCCAAAAGAAATGGCAACGAAGAAAACAAGGAGGAGCTCAGCCAGAGGCTAAATGGAAAAATAAAAAGGTCAAAATCAGAAAATGTGAATTACCATCCATGTAGGTGCTGTGTGCTGTGCTAGTTAAGTGCCAGTGTAATTATGAGCTGAAGTGATAACTGCCACTTCCTACCTTCTGAGGCACTTTAAAGAAAGCCTTGTGTGAGTAATTGAATTAACATCTAGAAAAAAAGGAATCATCCAAACAGAAATCTTTCATATGAAAAACGTAAACTAAAAGCTAGATAGCTAAATTCTACATGGCAAATTACCACCAGTCCCTGGGCTTCAAACCATAACATTCATTATCTCATTTCTTTGTGAAAAAGATTTATTTATATTTATATGCATATGTGTGAGTGTAACACATGTATGTAGGTACATATACCTGTGCTCAGAAACAGAGATCAGAAGAGGGGATCAGGTGTCCTCTGTCACTCTTCACAGTTCACTGTTCTTTTTGAAGTAGGGTCGTCTCTCCCTCAACCTGAACCTCACATTTTCTCAGCTAAGCTGGAAACCAGCAAGCCCCAGCAATCCTCCTGTCTCTGTCCATCTCAGGGCTGGAGTTATAGATGTGCACAAGACACCTGGCTTGTTACATGTGTACTAGGATCTGAATCCTCATAATTGTACAGCAAACACTCTTAACTGAGACATCTCTCCAGTCTCTCAATGTCTTGTTTCTGGGGGATCAGGAATCATCTATAGTCTAGCTTGGTGCCTCTGGTTCAAGGTCCCACGTGACCTTGGTATGAGCATATCCACTGGGCTGCACTCTCAGCTACGAGAGGCTGGGTTTCTAGCTCAGCCATGTGAGCTCACTTAACTTTAGGGAGGTTATTGTTCTTTCAGACTGTTCATGGAGAGCCTCTGGCTGTTGACCAGAGGCATCCCTCAATTCTGTGCCACAGGGGCCTCTGAAAAAAGATCACCCTTTTCTTCTGGCTTCTCTCAGAGCAAGTAGAGAAAGGATGCCAAGACAGAAGCCCTGGTCCTCAGGAACTGAGTCTCAGAAGTGGTATCCCACTTCTTTCTTTGTATTCTACTCATTACAAATGAGTCGGCATCAGTAAGTCCAACCCACATGCAAGGTAAGCAAGCACTCAAGATGTGCCAGTCAGGACAGTGGGGTCCCTGGGGCCATCTTAAAGGCTTCCAGACACACCCTCAGGAGGGTAAGACTAAAAGTAAGAGTGAATTTCTTTACATCTTATTACTTATTTGTGAAAGGAAGCCACTTAAAAGACAAGTTCCATTACTTTTTTAAATTATTTATTTAATAACCACATACTTAGAAGAAGCATTTCACTACATCAGCATTGAGATATTCAATATTTCTGAGCTAGGATGCATCTCTTACAAAATTGGATGTACATTTTTAGGTTTGCAGTTGAATTAATACAGTTATACAACATTGTACTCAGTATAAACCCTATGAGACATAAAATTGAATGAGGTTTTAAACTTTAAAACAGGTCTCCATTTCATTTTAAAATATACTGTTTCTTACAGAAAGACTCAT